TTTTCTTCTTCTTCTAGGTCAGGTCCTGCAGGAATTGTGTTACACTTGGTGGCAACTGCATTCCTTCAGGCTATGCTTAAGTGATTTCTGAAGCCATTTATCCTTTGGCCATTTTCCCCAAGCTAACTGGAAACTGAGAAGTGTATCTTAACTACATCCGGAAGACATTGAGTTGGGAAAGACTGGGTTATATAAGCAGAATAGTAAAAAATTATTGAGTCCAGCCTCCCCTTCAAGAAAAACAAAAGAGATTTTAAGGATATTTTTTTTAAAATAAGATAGGATGTGAGATGTCAGATAACATGTGAGATGTCTCAGCAGGTGGCATCACCTAGCCAATTTTATCTGGGCCTTGGAATCTAAGTTTAATTGGCCTAGGGCTGAAATTGTGTGAAGGATCAGGCTGTTGACTAGACTGAGAAATCGTAAATACATATTGAGAAAGGTAACATCAGTTTCACAGTGTTTTCAATACCTGCATGAATGCTCTTATGGTCACCACATAAGGGGGAAAATAATCTTGTGAATCTGCTTTGAATCTGAGAAAGAACTGTTGCATACAACAAAGTGATTCTGTCTGGCAAGACAGTTACAAGTTTGTTGAACTGTGCTGTATCTTTTTGGGGGTGTCTGTGTGTTACGGGTGAAGTTAATGATTTTTTAGTCTTCCCTGCTGTCAATGAAGAGAGAACCTTAGTTGAACTCAAAAACCTCAGTTGATGCTAACTGTAAGATTTATGACTTTTTAATTCTCTCTGTTCCAAAAATGATCTCAGCCAGATCATCTCTTTTGCTTATGTTGGTGTGTATGCATATATGTGTACGATGCATATGGTAGGGCAGTAATTATTGTATGTGTGTGCATGCATATTGTGTATGCATTATATAGAAATAATAAACTTGTTTTGAGTCACCTCATGTTGGAAGTATAATTGCCTTTAAAAAGGGAGGATTGTGAGTGATTGTGAATAAACTATGACTTTAGTGGGATCATTTCAAACAATAATCTAAAGAATCCAGATAAGTCAGTCAAGGAAAATTAACACATAGTTGATCAGTGGGTTCATTTTTATTCTGGAACAGTTTATTAACTAATAATTACATAAGAGTCAGATTTGAGTAAGTTGCGGATATGTTAAGTACACCAGGATAGTGTCAGCAGTGTTAATTAACTTCATTCTTTGAGTAAGTTTTTTGCAGTGCTTCTTAGATGCTTTCAAATAATGAGAACTTGGGAAATTTCTTCTTTTTAAATTAAAACTGACTGATAGGAATTGTTGGATACCAGATGGTGTACTAGATGCCAGATTTCATGCATTGGAATGATAGATTAGTAAGAAGGATAAAAGAAAAAAAATATTCTACATACCCACTTGTTTACTTCACAGTACGGCACTTGCCACTGATGAGACCAATGTTGTTTTATTCAACTTAAAATGTCTTTCTGATGCAGTATAGCTTTTTTCCAGACTTTTAAAATCAAGCAAGTCTGTTGTCTCTCACAGTGCAATGCTCTGATTTGGGGATTGCCTAGAACAGGGGACTGCAACCTTAAACACCCAGAGAGCCATTTGGACCCGTTTCCCACAGAAAAGAAAACCCTGGGAGCCAACAATTTGACAACTGTTGTGACTGGGTGGGCGTGGCCAACTGGGCATCACTCACTTCCACCCAGTCACCTCCTGATCTGGAATATGGAGCGAGTCCCTATCCCCCACCATCACCCTTACCTTCTCAGGCCAGGCAGGGAGGGGAGTGGCGGAGCCAGCCAGTTGTGGGATCAGGGAGCCGCAGCAGAGGGCCGAAAGAGCCACATGTGGTTTCAGAGCTGCAGGTTGCAGACCCCCTGGTCTAGAACTTCAGCTGAAGTTGCGTAGACCTTCTGAAGATCGCTGTGCAAGTCAGTCACACTTGACATTTTGAATCAGTGCTTCATGTTGATGTTCATTTCCTCAGCTTTTAAAGCCTCAGGTTTATTTCTCTTTCCTAGGCTGCTTGCAGGGGAGCTGAGGTTATTTTAGATTTTCTACAATACGGTTGATCTTGTCATTCTGTGCATAAGCGTGCATATATTTGTTGTTTCCTTCTCCATGTAGTCCTCCTTATCATTCTTTATATATTAACTCCATGGGTCTTCATTAGATTTTCCCTCAAAGTAACCCTGTCAAGATTACTGGATTTCTGGGAATAAGAAGGAAATGGTAGGCCTTCCTTCCAGAGATACTTGATCTTCATTAAGGTTCAAAGAGAGAAGTTTGTCTCTTTCCATACTGGTCAGGGGAGGAACTCCCAGGTTTAGGTTCCAGCTCCTCAGGATTTTGCTTCTTCCATCTTCTGCTTTAGCCCCTCTTTTGGGCTTCATTTCAGGCCTATACATTCTGTGGCTCCCAACAGACTCTCCTTGGAGGAAAGCGTTCTTCAAAAGAAGAATGACTAGAAAGCAAACAGGTCTGTCCTAAAGAAGAAAACATCCCCCCCCCCCCAGAAGTTCTCATTAGCTGTTTTCTCATTGGCTAAAATCATACCTAGAACATGTTAGTTGTTCTAGATTTTGGTGGTACAGCCAAAGTCTCTTGCTTGTTGACTTTTTATTCCCTTTCTCCTCCAAATGGTCTATAGTAGGGCTGTCAAACTGCTGGCCCACAGACCGGATGTGTCATGCCCTGCCCCCCCCCCCCCCCCCCCCGGTTTAGTGAAGGGAAAAAAATCCCAATACATCATGGGATGCCACCATGATGACATGAGTTTGACACCCCTGGTTTCTAGGGCAGCTCTCCTGACACTTATCTTCCCAGCCTCTTCACTTTCCCCTTTCAGCTATTTCCATATGTTAGGTTCTGAGGACAAACTAAATAACCTGTTACTCATATGCAGAATTTTTTTCCACATCCCTAATAGCAATCATAATGTTACAGGTTGGGCTGGGCCTTTATAAAGTAAGTGAAATCGATGTACTTTTCACTGATGGCTTAGATACCGCATTCAGGAGAGTGCAGGCAAATCTTTTGTTAATAAGTCATACATAGCTTAGTAACAGAGCTTTTGCCTATAGGCTGCTGCATGCGTAAAAGGTTTGAGTGAGAGTCACCAATTCACACATGACATGTATTAATATTTACTTTTAAATGCCTAATATTGGCAGGAAAGTTAGTTACCTACGATATGTAGAAATGACATGGTGAGCAAAATTGTAAAAAGCATGGATCCCTCCACTAATTTGTCACGAAAGTGTACTTTCTTAACACATTATAAGAATGAACCAACCATTCTTCTCTCTCCTCCCCACTTGAGTAACAGTTGTCTTGAAAATCACCCTTCTGGCATCCACATGGGTAATTACCAAAGCCGCTGGCGGTAAAATCAGCAATAATGTATGTTTGGTGCTCTACAGCACTACAAATTAAAGAGAAATTACTTTGAATTAGTCTGCCTGTATTAGTAAATCCAACCTACGGCCAACATTCAATAAATCTTTGTAGACTTTGACTGCTTTTCTGTTGAGTCTTGGCAGTTGCTTAATAAAATGACTTGATGAACACTCTCTAGGGCTTTTGCTTTCTGTTTCCAAATTGTTTGATACCAACAGCCCTCAAAATACGCTCTACATATTTAGCAAAGCATAGGCAAGGCACAGTGCTTAAACCAGCATTCCTATTTAGCTGAATTTCTGTAAGACTAGCCACATTCCTAATCTTGTATTAAATTAGCAATGGTATTTTCTTTTCTATTTTTGCATGTTGTTAAAATAGCTTGTTAATGAAGGGGGTGGGGAGTCTCAGCAGCACTAATAAAACTTGAGAAAAGTGGGAAACACTTCTAGATATGATTGCTTCCCTTAAATGCAAAAGCCACCTGAATTCAGGTCCCAGTAATGTCTGTTTGAGAAGATGCAGTTAGTTCTGAAAGGTGACTTACTGAATTACTTGCAGCCTGCAGCAACTGTCTTTTTGTTTTTTTTGAATGAAAGGGTTTTTGTAATTTAAATGCCGTGGTAAATTCCTCTAGGAAGAATAGCAGTTCTGGGGGATCTGGATTCAATCAAGTATAGATATCAACTTACTTCATGGCTGCTTTCCTAAAATCATGTACTTCCTCTTTTATTTCATTTTGCTTTTCCAAACCAAAATACTAATTGCTGTAATGTATAGCTCCCCCCCCTTTTTTTTTTTTGCTTAAGCTTGAGGAAACTTCTTTTAATTCTCTTTTAACTTTAGGGAAGGCTCATTGTAATTCTAACAGAGATATTGGAGAAAATATCTACCAATTAGCTATATGGTAATGTGGATGGAAAACTGGTGTATTGTCCTGTATGCATTGCATTGCATTGCTTTGCTTTGCTTTGCATTGTCACTTGAAGTAGTTTTGGAGTAGAGCAGCATAGAAATACCAGTAATAAATATTTCAAGTGTATTAGCATATCCATTACATACTGAGTATATCTGTCGGATATCTTTTACTGGCCAATCTAGCTATTGAGAAGGGGCTGATTAGGACTGCTTTGGGTAGGAAAAGAGAATGTAAGTCACCCAGTCATATTCTTGATAAAAAGAAACTATATATTAAAAGAGAACTAGTTTGATGTCATGGGTCAGGTGCTGGCCTAGGAACCAGGAGACTCTGAATTCTAAATCTCCCTTAGCATGAAAGCTCAACCCACCTCATAGGGCTACTGTTGTGGGGAAAATAGAAAAGCCAATAATACTGTATTCCTTTATCAAAAAGAACAGTTATTTGGGAACTGCTTTGTCAAAAACTGAGTAGGGAAGGTACACTGAATGTTCTTTCCAACTGCAACAGGTATGAATTGATCTGGAATCCGTAATATATCTTCCAATAATAAGAAAGATTAATCTGTGGATATTTAGGGATTTAAGAGATTTTAAAAAGCCTCTGTTAGGCAAGCTTCAATTAAACAAGCGGCAAAAAAATAGGAAACATTATAAATAATTAGAACTATGTTAAAAACAAACAAGTTCCAAGTCTTCTCCTCCTGCTTGCAGGTATCCATCACTAATACTATACTGTGCTGAAGATGTCTAACAGCAACACCACACAGGAGACACTGGAGATAATGAAAGAATCAGAAAAGAGATTGGTTGAGGAATCTTTGAACAAAACCAAATTTGTATCCAGGTCACCAAGCAAAGAGGAGCCTGAGAAGGACGGGGAGGAGAGCAGTGTACGGCAAGAATCTCAGGTAATTGGACATAATGTCTCATAGATAGCCAAACCAGTAGGTCCATGAAAGCCTATAGTTGACTGGCTATGGTCCTTGGACTTAATTTTATTGTATCTTGGTCAGTTATCTTCAGATGTTGCTAGATTTACTCCCATTAGAAGCTCCATAGAATCTATCTCATGAAATCACACCGGTATGTTATCATATATGAAATCACATTGTTTATAGAGTTATGCACTCATTCCTGGAATGTAGTACAAATAGAATAATGTTAGAAATTGCTACCATTTTACTTTATGTGATATTTGGTCTGATTTTTTTTAATATGAAGTATCTTTCAATTCAGTTCCTGAAGAATCCTCTGTAGTTTTTTATTTTTTTTATTTTTTTACATTAATTCTTGTCTACAGGGTTTGGAAGGAAGTATGAGTAAGCCTAGTAAGACCTATTCCTGTGTTTGCCACCACAATATAGTCATGGTGAGCTATTTCTGAATTCTATCAAGAAAACAATAATTAAAAAAAACCCTCCTTAGCCTAGAATCATGATGGCAGTGGCATTGTGCCACCCCTGTTCAGTGTTATATACAAAGCAATTTAATAGAAGTTCCCCAGCACAAGGACATTGTAATTGGAAATTCAGTAGCATTGAAAGGCAGTTGAGGGAGTGGAATGATGAAATTGGCCTTAATATAGATGTGGCCAGTTTTGCTGCTGCTACATGCATAGTCTTCATTTTAAGCGTGGTAAGTGGAGGATTAGCAAAATCTGGACAGAAAAGTTGGCAAGTCAAAAGTCAATTTAAGGGAAGAAAGGAGGGCATTGGGACTGGAAAAGAATTGAAGTCTGTTTTTAAGCCCCTGTAACTAAGTGATACAAATTTTGTTTTGGACACAACATGTTTCTTTACTTGAACTGCATTCTGTTTCTTCATTTGCTCTTTTGATGTTTAATTTGCTGTCATCGGATCTTTTTTTGGATTTTCCCTAAACATACAAATTAGTCAGTTTTTATTAGACTCTGGTAAGTGTGTCATAGAAATGACAGGCTGTGTAATTTTGTGATGTGAAGTAATCAACTAACGCCAACCCTTTTGGCTAGTACATTTATACCTCTTACAAAAGTTCAGAAACAGGCCTAGGATTGACAATATCTTTCCTTTGCAAGAAAGTACATAGTTCAGTAGAGAAAACACCATCATTTCTTAGTGTAATACAAATTTTTCTTTTAACAAGATGGAAACTCCATCAACTTTTATTATCAATTGGATGAAGACAGAATGTGTTAAATGTTCCGCATTGTGCCTACGTTAATTCTGAAAAGCAGCTGCTGCCTCCTTCGTATTCTAAACGAATAGTATATATACAGTTTGAGAAATGGTTAAAAAAAAAGGAAAAAAGGAAGAAGAGACATAGGACAGGCATCGCCAGTCTGGTGCTCTATGTAGATTTCTGCTGGATGAAAATTGTGGGAGTTTTATTTCTATCATACTTGGATGACACAAGATTGGATAAAGCTAATAGGGGAATTTTGGAGTCCTAAACATGAAGCAGTAATTTGGTCCGCCAAGTCCTTCTTCCAAATGCAGAAACCTAATTTAATTCATTGACAAAATGAATTGACAAAGAGTGAATGTGGTGTTTTTCAACTCTGGCAATTTTAAATCCTGTGTACTTCAACTACCAGAATTCTGTAGCCAGCATGTCTAAAGCATCCAGTGAAGGAGATACTGCCATTTCTCTAGGTAATTGACCCTTTGTTAATTGTGCTTGCTGGATTTCAACTGCTGTGCCTTTTTCATTCATCTCTGGCAGAGAGGTAATTTCTCCAACAGTGCACTTTGCAGTACCTATCATCCCTGCTTCTTTAAGCTTTGGGGAAGCTTGGGAGGCATATTATTATAGCATATATTCATATTTTTATGATTTTTTTTTTAAAGAAGATGTTACTAAAATTTTTAAAAATGACAGAAATTTAGAAGAAGAAAGATTATTAAAAGATAAAGGAAAAGTGAAGAATAAGAAAAAAACAAGAAAAAAGGACGTTGTCTAAAGATCCAATTTCTAATTTTCTTTGCAGCATTTACAAACATACAATTATTAGGAAGGTGGTGACCTTCCTAACATATTGCATATCGTAGTTACCCTCTTTCCACAAAAAATATTTTTAATTAACCAATCATGAAATCGGTTCATTTTTGTCCATGTTCAGCAAAAAGTCTATAAAGGGTTTTTTAGTCTTTTATAAAACTTGTAGTTCCCTCCTTAATCAAAGAAGTCAGTGCAGCCATTTCTGCAAATTCAGCCATAACGCATTCATTCCTTTCCTCGCATGTGTCTTACTAGCATGTATAAAGAATACACAGAATAACTTTTCTACTTCTTCCTACTCTCATCTTTTTTCTTCTTAAACAGAGGAGAACATCCAATCATGGACATGCTAGAAAAAGAGCTAAGGTAAGAGATTCCCTGGGTCATCTTTTTAATATTGCATTATCATGATACTTCAAAAGATGGTGATGTGACACTAAACCTGTTTCCACCCTTAGTTCCAAGTCCCAGCCTTCCTAACAGAGTGCCAGATTCAGTACTTCAGTACAATTCAGATTCAGTACTTCAGTACAATCTGAGTTCATAACCGATTTCAAGGCTCAGAATACCACAGCCATTGCGTCTTATTCCTAGGTCTCACAAGGATTTCTCAGGTGTGCACTTTATCCAGCCATCTCAAGGCAGGAGGCTAAGGCAGCTGTTATCTCTGTGGCTACAGCATAACCGTAGAGCAGACTGTTTTTGGAAAAGCATGCTAAAAATTATCCACCTTCTGGAAGCCATGTGAACATGTTAAATTTGTTCTTGCACTTGCTTTTGACTCTTGTTTGTTTTAGCTATGTCTCAGTTCTGTTGCATACAATAAGTCAGGGTGGCGATGGAATGCCCCATTATTAAATCTTTCTCATCTATTTTTTTTTCTATACGTAGAGGAATGCCACACTGTGAGGAAAGCCAAGCTCAATTTTGCCTGGCATGCTTGTTAACCACACGCTGGGTTTTGTTTTCCTTTTTTGGTTGCGATGGATAATTCATTCATACTTTTCCACCACTCCAGGCCGAATTGGTGCAGCCCAGAGTTCCTATCTTGTTTTGCTTTGTTGGTTCCACTCAGAATCTTGGGGCTGCTTACAAATATTATAAAATAAATAAATAAATCTAAGCTTGCTGCTTCTGTAAAAACAGCATTCATAGGAGTTTTACTTTTTATAATTTGACAGTAAATCATTACTGAATTGAAGCTTGGTCTTTTAGGCATTTGTCATGAATGCTTTTAATATTCTTTACATTAATAACAGCCTCCAACTAGTAGTCCTTGGAAATTTATCTATAAGAAAATGTGTACAATACATTTTCAAGAATCCATATTTCACCACCTGGGCTTGTCCTGTGTACAATTTTGTGAGCATCACCATTCCCTCCCCACAACAAGTTGTTCAGCCAATTTGAGACAAAGCTTTATTTTTTAGCATATCTTTAAATGAACCTGGCAAACCACCCAGAGTAACTATGCTTGTTGAAAATACACGTAAGCAGTGCTGAGATTCAGCTGGTTTGTACTGGTTCAGGTGAACCGGTTGTTAAATCACCCCACCCACCCCCACCCCGCTATCAAAATCCTGGGTGTGGGGCTGTGCTGCAATGGAGAAACAGGCAGTAAAGCGGTCAGTGTGAGGGAAGGACAAGGCCACTTTCCCCCTTTCTTCTCCCTGCTCCTCCTCCCCCCCTCGTACCAGCTGCTTCGTTGCCCATTTCTCCATTGCAATGCAGCACCGAGGATCCATTTTGATAGTGGTGGTGGTGGTGTTTAAATTTAATATCTGGTTCGCCCAGGGTCAGGTTGGCTGTTGCGGGAAGGTCGTCCTGCATATGCAGTGGAACTGGAGGGCGGGGATGGGCCACAGCTCCCATGACAGCCAACCTGATCCTGGGTGAACCAGTTGTTAAATTATTTGAATCCCACCACTGTAAGATGCCGGCTGTGGAATAGTAGGTTTGGAATTAAGGCAGGAAAAATCTTACTTACTTTTGCTACATATTTGGCGGGGGTGGGGTGGGGGGGTGGAGAAATTATATAATGAATTTGCAACTGAGAAGCCCAAATCATGTATTTGTTCGTTGTTTAGGCTCATGTAGAATCTGAGGTCAGATGGAGTGGCAAATTATCATATATAATGGGTTCCCATCTAAGATGCCAAGAGAGGAAATTTGTTCCAGTTATGTGGTTACTAATGTTCATGGAGTCGACACCTTTTGTATTGCTCCATAGCAAAAAAAACAAAACAACACAAAAAAACCCCACCCTACCTTTCTCATTAAAGCAATACTACCTTAATTGCTATTAGATGACTGGCAGGTCCATGACACATCAAAAGGAGACTGTAGTCATCTGCTTTTTAACTTCAGAAGCACTTGTGTGTTTGTTTGTTTCAGTCAAATTCGAAACTGAAATTAGTGAGGAGCCTGGCTGTATGTGAAGAATCCTCTAGTCCCTTTGTGGATGGGCCTTTGGAAACTCAAGTAAGCCAAATAACAAGTAAATGAATACTCCTTTCAGCTGGTGGGAGGGTTGTGTAGAGAATCCCTTTCAGTATTAATTATTTCTGACCTAGATTAAGGTAAGACATCTTGAGAAAAACTTGTCTGAACCTTGTGACAATGTGATGGCCAAGTTAAAATGTATTAAAAGTGATATTGATATACCATTGGCATATCAGTAATCTCCATTGGTCTGATTACACACTGCCATATCTATGAGTCCATGTTCTGGACCCTTTATTAAGAAACCCTATATTACATAGCATGATCAGGATAGGTGATTGTATCCTGAAGAGTGGTTTAAGGAGAACTTTCAGGATATAATAAGAACTTTTAATCTTCTGGTGATTCCAAATAATATCTACATATTGAATATCTTCCTATCTGTAGAACAGTAATCTATGCAGAAAATGATACACACTATGATCCATATAGTAAACCACCATCGCTCAGATAGGGTGCTGTAGGTATAGGATGCTATAATAAGATGACAAAACCAAGAATTGTGGCACATACTAGAGGGGATTTACCAATCCAGCATTGTAGATTATTCAAGCAAAGAAAGTACCAGTGCAAGGCCCACTGGGTTATTTACCTATCTATCTGGAAAAGTCTTCTATGGTCACACACCTAATTGATCATTTATTGGTTGGCTCCCTGAGCGGAATTGAATGTTCTCTTAGTGTGAAATATCATATTTTCTCCCCTTCTTTTTTTTTGGTGAGATCAGCAAGGAAAAACAGGGACAGAACAACCTGTCTAGTCTAGCCTTCTGTTTAAATCAAATCAGTATTTTTAGTACATTTACTGTTTGCCTCATAAGTAGGAAATGTTGATAGCATTATGTGTGTGTGTGTGTGTGTGCGCGCGTGTATGTGTGTGTGCGTGTGTGTAGGTATAGGTATAGATATATAGATATATAAATATAGATATTCTTAAGTTTTCACGGGTATTTACCTGTACAGTATTCAGCTTTGTTTGGGTATTTTCCCACATCATTATAGTTGTGCTTTTAAAGTTGTAGCAACATTTTGGCAGAATCTCATCTGCCATCATCAGGCTTCCTCTATTGTGTTCGTCGAACACAATACAGAAGCCTGATGATGGCAGATGAGATTCTGCTGAAATGTTGCTACAACTTTAAAAGCATGCATATATATATATATATGCATGCTCATACACAGATGAAAACTTAGCCACATGGAGAAGGGTAGGCCAGAATCTTTAGTGATTGATGGCCAACCTGACCCAAAGTAAAATTCCTTCCTAGATCCAAAAAGTTGATCATACGATGCTTCCAGCTTCTGTTGATTGCAAAGCATCAGCAAATACAGCTTTTGTCCTGTCATTAGGATATCATACATTTGCACATCAGTTGCCCATCTGACAAGGAAGATGACAAATCTGCAAAAGATGGTCCCGAAAAAGAAGAAAAAGAGAAAAACAAAGAGAAGGCCCCCAAGAAAATGTTGTCTAGAGGTAAGACAATCTTGGGTTCCAGCCACATCTGTTCATTGCAAAATTCCAGGCACCTGGATGATGTCAATAAATTATTAAAGAGACATTTCCTAAAGTGAATTATTAACATGTTTTAATAATCCTTGAACTTATATTTGATGTCATTCAATTTGTTGATCATTTATTTGTTAGTTGCATATCTTGTCTTTCCTCAAGGAATACATAAGTTCCCTCCTAAACCACACTCCTGTGCCGTAGATTGGTTGGAGTGATGGAACCTGGCCCAAGTCATCCAGATATTTTCTGTATCTGAGTCTCCCCCACTGGGTAAATACCCAATGTGTTGATTAGCCACAGCATTGAAGACAGAGTAAAGAAAAAAATTGCAAGCTTATATAGTTAGATAAGTTAAGACTAATGCTATTGTGTTTTTTTTAAAAAAAATATTAATGTCGAAGTGCATGTAAAGACAAATGTGCTTGAAGATGCAAACTTTGATAATATTCCCCACTGCCTATGAGAGAACACTCGGATTCCTTCCCACAAAAAAACTTCTCCTGATGGTAAGATTCAGCAAAGAGGCAGAAGATCAGATAGGAATGAAGATGTACATGATGAAGTTTATGGTCTCAGAGTAACAAATTATATACTAATACACATATGTGTGCATGTGCGTGTGCACACACACACACATATACACACATGAATATATGTAGACGTGTACACACACACATGTACACAAGTACATATACACACACCACTTAGTGATGTTTGTTTAAGAAACCTCCCCCCCCCCTTTTTTTTTTTTGTCATTTCCATAGTGACTTGAGAAAGTTTCTAACACAAAGGATAGAGCTATACTGAGTTCCCAGTTCAATCCCTGCATCCTCTTTTCTCCTAGGGCTGAATAATGAAAAAAATTATGTCACAATTTTGTCCCAAATTTCCTCCATGTACAGATAGTCTTTGACTTACAACCACTCCTTTAATGACCATTCAAAGTTACAATGGCAGTGAAAAAAAGTGACTTATGACCGGTTTTCACACTATAACCATTGAGGCTTCCTCAGAGTCACATGATCCAACTTCAGCTGCTTGGCAACCGGCATGTACTGTATTTATGATGGTTGTAGCATCCCAAGATCCTGGAATTGTCATTTGTGGCTTTCCTAGGGAGCTTTTTGCAAGCAAAGTCAATGGGGTTGCCAGATTTGCTCAATAACTGCACGGTTCACTTAACAGCTGTAGTGATTCGCTTAACAACCATGCCAAAAAAAGGTAAAATGGGACATGACTCATTTAACAAGTGCCCTGCTTAGCAATAGAAATTTTGGGCTCAATTGGGATCTAGGACTATCTGTACCTTAAACCTCACTTGAATCTCTTTTTTACTGCTGCACCGTTACAGTGGCATCTTAGTACCCGCATATTACCTTACTAGTTATTTAATTAAAATGTGTGCTTTTGAAATGTGAAACAGCATGATAAGAGAACTGTTCACTTGAAATTATTGCATCTTTCTTTTTTTCCATTGGCATGCTGCACATAGTCTTCACCATCTCAGAGATGTGTGGAGGTATTTTATAACTAACTAAGGGCCTTGGTGACACAATGGTTAGAACACAGCATTGCAGGCCAAGTCTGCATTCACATCAGAGCCAGCAGTTCGATCCTGACCGGCTTAAGGTTGACTCAGCCTTCCATCCTTCTGATGAGGACCCAGATTGTTGGGGGCAATATGCTGACTCTGTAAATTTCTTAAAGAAGACTGTAAAGCGGCATTTAAGTCTAAATGCTACTGCTATTCTTACAAGTTTAGGTGGCAGTACGTTTCATTTTGCCCCCCCCCCCCCCCAATTAGATTTAAAATAATTAATAACCCTTGGGATTACTGTAGAAGAGAAAAATCTGCCATTGTGTATTGTAATGTGTCACAGGAAATAATCTGCAAAGTTGGAAAAACTATATTCAGATTGCATGAAACAGTTATTCTATATATCACCCTGTATTGGGCATGCTGGTATTCACATTTTTTCGGCGCACAGACGGTCTAAGACCGGGTTATATATGGGGTAATCACATGAAGGCATGTGTATGAGAGTTTGCTTTCCTAGAGAATGCTGTGTTCCAGCAGACATAGCATAGCAAGCGTACATATTTCCACTGAGCTGCAGCCCACTAAATAATTGCTTCCAATATTTAAACTCTGCAGGGTGCCTCTGCACATAGCATTTCCTCTAGATGAGCTATCTGTTTCCTTCTGTATGATCACAAATGTTGTGAATCTCTACTGGAAGAAAAAAATGCTATTTGTTGCTGATTGGTTAAATAGACCTATAAAGCTAAAAACCCATTTAATCAACCAATTCACCTAGGCTGGCAACTCTGAACTCTATGGAATTTGGGATGAAAAGAACGAGAAATTTGAATGAGAGGAGCCAAAAACTACTAACAGCATCTGTGTTTGCTTTCTCCTCCTCTGAGATCAAAAGGCTTTGTAAATAATGCAGAGCCTAACATACTTATTACAAAAGCCTGGTATGTGATGATTTGGCCCACACAACTTCTTCTGATGGATTAGTGTATTCTTTATTAATATGAGGCTTGAAGATCAAGCACCAAGGTTTGATAATTTGCACTCTAGGAAAAACAAGACCAATCTGTTTCTGGTCTATGTCATTTTATAGTAATGATAATGGTGATCCCCCTCACCACCTTAAGAAATACTCAAATCCATTGATTACATTGATAGTGGCTGATATTTTATAACAAGAATTCAGGGATGTATCACATCATGCTTTGAGCAAATAAGCTCTTCGTTGTCTTTCTGTAGTCTGGATTTATATATTCATCTTTTTAGACAAGGTGGAAGCCCTTTCCATTATGATGGAAAGAGTAATAAGAAAATGCCCGTATTGAAATATTTAAAATTAATTTCACCTTCCAATTTAGCCTAAATGTTTAAAGTTGAATTTAAAGAGACAAGATTGGAGTGTGCATTGACGTACATGTAGTATCTGTCAGAAAATGCCTCATAGACTCTCAACTATGACTTTACTTGTGTTGGACTATAGCTCCCATTGTTTACTCTTATTCTGAGCAGTATTTTGGCACAAAAGGAACTGTAGTGCGACATTTGAGTGTCCCATTGGATGGATATGACTATACTGAAATCGTGTTCATTCCATCATCTGCATTAAACTGAGGTGCTTGAATGCTAGATCCTCCCTCCCTCCCTCCTCTTTTCCCCTTTTTTCCCCTTTTTTCCCCTCTTCTATAAAGTAGGTCATTTTTTGAGTCTGCTTCTATTGTCTGTTATAGATTCCAGCCAGGAATACACAGACTCCACTGGAATAGATTTGCATGAATTTTTAGTAAATACACTGAAGAAAAATCCAAGGTAGGTTCCAGGAGTGGTCATGTTGTGGATCCTGCAACTGCATGCAGAATTAAAAATGAGAGGCGCATATATAACCAAGGGTAGTGTTAGTTGCCAAAAAATCTAACATGTTTATGTTGGTATGTGTCTGCTAAGGGTAGGATGGAGCAGCTAAGCAGCCTTCCATGCCCTCCTGAAATCATGGAATGATGTAAGTATCATGAACATGAATTACATATAATTTAAAGTGTCCTCTCAGTTTACTTAGTCTTGCTACTCCCAAGCACTTCTATGCTTATCTTGCCCTGGAAAGTCTTGAACTTGACATGGCAATCGTGAGGTCTGGAGTTTAATTGGGCTTTGGCTAATGCCCAGGTTCTGAGTAACAGTGCTTCAAGGAATCATGATAATATTTTCATAGACTACTGCTGGTTGGTTTACAACTTCATTAGTATCTCCCTTATCATTACCAATTTACCACTAATGGAGATCAGAATATTTGTGACAGCTTTCCCCATCGTCTGCCTAGTCATGTAGTCCAATATAATAGGACGACATTTGGCAGGAGAAAGTTGATTCTGTCTGTAGATTATGGGAGATATGTAATAATAAAATCTCATTAATTTTTTTCTTAGAGTAACTTGATATCACAGATTTCCTACTTGTGTTGTAACTGGACTGTAATCTTAGCCTTGTTACGTCATTCATCTGACCCTTTAGAAAATCATGGAATGCTGAATCATTCATGATGCAAGCTTGTTGCTACCTACTGCTTGCTCATTTATATTTTGCGGTTTCTCCAGAGTGATAAGAGGGATGTACATGACCTTGTAGCATAGGTTGAATAGAGAAAATGTGGCTGGCCCAGAGTTACTAAGTAAGGTTCCATTGATTTTTGAGTTCGGTCTCATAGTCTTTCTCTAAAGCTTGAACCACTGACTATGACGGCACAGGCTTTCATTAAAATAGAATAGATGCATTTATATCCTCCTATGCTACATTTGTATAGTATATACTATACCATACACTATAGTAAATAGCAGGGGTGTCAAACTCAAGGCCCACGGAGTGCTTAGATCTGGCTCGCAGGGCTGCCCTGGAAACACGGCCCACGGTATCTCTGCTGACCCTCCCGGGCTCCATTTTTGCTGGAGCAGGGCTGCAGCATGTCAATCAAGCTGGCCACACCTATCCTGGCCACGGCTACCCCAGCCACACCCACTCAGCCCTCCGAGGTCAAACACAACCCTGATGCAGCCCTCAATGAAATTGGAGTTTGATACCTCCGGTATATAGTATAGTATAGTATAGTATAGTATAGTATAGTATAGTATAGTA